AAATTCAAACAAACAAACAAACAATATTTGAAATACTTGCCATATTTTCTACCAGTTGAGGCCGATGTCTGCGAACAGTCTTTACAGCCTGAAAAACGTCCATTTCTCCATGTTGAACCACCTGCTCTATCGCAACGTTAGCAGCACAGTACACACCGCTTCGGTTACGACCGTTTCTGGCAGATCAAAGTTTAAAGATTACATTTATTATCACTATTAATCATTTGATCTCATATACAGCTGCTGGGGAGTTTCAACTACTGACAGATCCAAAAATAACAATAACAAGGTTCAATAGTTTTACACTGACCGATATTACGAACTTCAAGTTACTTACATGTACTGTTTAACATAAAAGTTTGTTGTTTATATTTGAAAGATTATTTCTTGGTATGGTTGTATTCGTGTTTCAAATTTCAAAGAGGTCGATACCAAGTTCGATACGGCACAAAAACAGAATTGGTATCGAAAACATTCTATTCTATTCTATACTATTCTATTCTATACTATTCTATTCTATACTATTCTATTCTATTATATTATGTTCAATACTATACTATTATATTATATTCAATACTATACTATTCTATTCTATACTATATTATTCTATTCTATTCTATACTATATTATTCTATTCTATTCTATACTATTTTATACTATACTATTCTATACTATAATATTATATTCAATACTATACTATTCTATACTATTATATTATATTCAATACTATACTATTATATTCTATACTATACTATTATATTGTATACTATACTATTCTATTCTATACTATACTATACTATTCTATTTTATACTATTCTATACTATATTATTCTATTCTATACTATACTATTCTATACTATACTATACTATTCAATACTATACTATTATATTGTATACTATACTATTCTATTCTATACTATACTATTCTATTCTATACTATACTAACAGCTTGATTTGATTAGCCGCCATCTTCCTTCCTTTCGTTCGCTGGCTGCCTACGTTAGGCAAACATCATGTTGAACATCTTGGAGAACTCTCTATGATTCACTTCAAACTGAACAATTTGAGTCAATCTCTACTATTTATTTATAATTTCTAATGGACACAACATCATGAAGAATCATTATATACACCTGGAAAAAAGTTAAGCACCCC